CCATTCTCGATGAACTCCAACCTGCCTCCACCACCTGCTTTAAAACCCCTGAGCTCCCTCTCGACTCATCACCCTCCGTCTGCGCACCCTCCTCCTCTGCAGCTGATGCCTCAAAGCCAACCGCTGCAGTCCTCGCAAGCCCAGCCTCCCGTACTGACGCAGAGTCAGAGCCTTCCCCCACCTGCTAATCACCCCCCATCTGGACTCCATCAGGTATCCTCCCAGCCCCCCTTCTCTCAGCATCCATTTGTCCCCGGAGGCCCACCTTCCATCACCCCTCCTTCTTGTCCCTCCACTTCCACGCCACCCACCGTGCCTGGCATCCCGCTTCAGACTTCCATCTCCACGTCAGCAGCTTCTAGTGGCAACGTGCCGGTGGTGACAGCCTGCACGCTACCGCCTATTCAAATCAAAGAAGAAGTCCCAGATGAAGCTGAGGAACCAGAAAGCCCTCCCCCTCCCCCCAGAAGTCCATCACCAGAACCTACTGTGGTGGACACACCAAGTCATGCCAGTCAGTCGGCCAGGTATGCAGGCTGTCAGCAGTGCTTCCTTAACGTGCTCTGGTTTTCTGTGTAGTGGGGGGCTCCCAAAAGCTGAGAAATCAGCTCCTGTAGGAGCTGAGTGTATTTTACACATGCGTCTTGTCAGCCTCTCTTTCTAACATGATTTTGCTCTGTCTGGGAGGGTGCTGTTTGAGCCAGCATATACAGAGAGGACGTTATGGTTTTAACTTGTGAGAAGGGTTTTATATTCTATTTGTCAGTGGAGTAATATGGTACAATTAATTTTCTTACAACTTTCAGGGGAGCTGGTGGTGCTGTTGTATAAAGATACTTTATGTTTTTTGAGATGTGCAGCTCTTAAATTCCAGGCCGTTGCATCTTTCCCAGGGCTAAGCTCTTTCTGTTGGTTTTTTTCCTTCGTCTTCCAGGTTCTATAAGCACCTAGACCGTGGCTACAATTCATGCTCAAGAGCAGACTTGTACTTCATGCCTCTGGCTGGATCGAAACTGGCCAAGAAGAGAGAAGAAGCCATTGAAAAGGCCAAAAGGGAAGCAGAGCACAAAGCACCACTAGAGAAAAAGAAAAAGAGAAGGAAAGAGAACGAGAGCGGGAGCGTGAAAGAGAAGCAGAAAGAGCTGCGGTAGGTCGATTTGTAGCTAAGAGCTGTGTTTAAGGGAGTTGGCATAGTAGTATCTGACCTGGATGGTGACTGCAAAATGCAAATCCCCAGAAGCTCTCGAATGCATGGGCAGTCAGGTATTTGTGAATACGGGAGCCTCGTGTGCCAACAGAAAGCCACCCAGGTACGAGCACCTCCTGGCCTGCCTGTGACTTTCTTCTCTTTAAAGGAGATGGAGAGTTTCTAACCCTGGTCTGATTCTGATGTGGGGGAAGCTGATGCAGCCGGGGCCAACTGGGCTGAGTATTTACGTTACTTGCATCGAAAAGCACTGTGCAGGTGTAGTGAGTGCCTTTGGGTGCTTTGTACTGCTGTGCAGGCACAGGAGTGCTGGCTGCTGGAAAAAGGAGATCTGAAGACTTTTATGTTTGAAATAAACTTAATTAAAGGCACGTAACCTTTTTTTTTTTTTTCCTCCCCTGAGGAGACCTAAACTCCGGTCTTGGTATAGACAACCAGTACAACTAACCCATTTTTGTGGGCCCGCAGAATCGGTAGGTTGGTAATATGTTATTGATGCTGAAAAATAAAGTGCTAAAATCTTCCTATTCCAGGTGTGAATCAGAGGTAGGTGTTTCTGTAGGATTATGAAAGTCAGGATATAGCATCTGTCTGTTAAGGGATGTCACGCATGTGGACTTTGCTTTTATTTTGGGGACAGAATCCAGTTGTTTTCCAGACTGCATCGGAGCACACAGCTGCAGGAGTCGCAAGGCCCAGCAGGCTGAACTTACCTTGTCCTAGAGCTTGAAGCAGAAGAAGGGAAGTGTGCGCCCGCTGTGTTTTTAAGATGTGTTGAATTAAAATTCTCTTCCCCCATTCTGTGCAGCAGAAGGTATCCAGCTCCTCCCACGAAGGCCGCCTTGGAGAGTCTCAGCTCAGCGGGCCAGCGCATATGAGACCGTCATTTGAACCTCCGCCGACGACCATCGCTGCTGTTCCACCTTACATTGGCCCGGACACACCTGCTTTACGAACACTGAGCGAATACGCCCGTCCTCATGTCATGTCGCCAACAAACCGTAACCATCCCTTCTTTGTCCCTCTGAACCCCACTGACCCGCTTCTGGCCTACCACATGCCCGGCCTCTACAACGTGGATCCCACCATTCGGGAACGAGAGCTGCGAGAGCGAGAAATCCGGGAGCGAGAAATCCGGGAAAGGGAGTTGAGAGAGAGGATGAAACCTGGCTTTGAGGTGAAGCCCCCGGAGCTCGACGCGCTGCACCCAGCAACGAACCCCATGGAGCATTTTGCCAGGCATGGGGCACTGACTATTCCCCCAACAGCAGGACCTCACCCATTTGCTTCCTTCCACCCGGGTTTGAACCCCCTCGAAAGAGAGAGACTTGCGCTGGCGGGCCCCCAGTTACGGCCTGAAATGAGCTACCCCGACAGACTGGCAGCGGAGAGGATACATGCGGAGCGGATGGCGTCACTCACAAACGACCCGTTGGCACGGCTCCAGATGTTCAACGTTACGCCTCACCATCACCAACATTCACACATACACTCGCATTTACACCTACATCAGCAGGATCCCTTACATCAAGGTGAGCCCGGGGAGGTGGACTAAGGCCGTTTCCACAGGAGTCTCTCCTGTGAGCTGCCGCGAGAAATCTGCCCGAAACAGGCAGACTCTGACTCTGGAATTCAAGTAACAAAATCCCTCTTTTCTTGAACGTGGTGCAACTTCTGTACTGGAATGCAAATGTTTTTTGGGAAGGTGGACCAGTAGCAGTGGTAAAGTAAATAATGGTAACAGTGCAGCAATCTTCATTGAGACCGCGTGCTGTGAAAGCTTTTTCATTTTGTTTTGTGGGAGTTTATTAAGTATTGGAGTTACAGAGTACCACCTTACAGGGGTGTCTGATGTACAGATCGAGAAGGGAATCCACTAGGAGAGATGTCACAGAACTGGTGACGCTGCTAAAGCTAATGGCTGTTCCGCTACGAGTTATAGCTGGAAAGGAGCTGAAGCTGGTGTTTCCGTACAGGAGATGGAAAGAAAATTAGGAGAGAAAGACTTCATTGCTTCAGCCGTTTGACATGCCAGCCATCTGGCTTTAACTGAGCAGAAGTTCTCATGTCACAGTTCTAAGAATCGTCTAAAATTACGGGCTGGCATCTTTTTAGCCGCGGTTTATTCTTAAGTTTGGAATTTTTTTCCCCAGCAGCATTTAATAGTCTAAAAAATGAATTGCTGCCTTGCTCATTTCTAAAACAAGCGACGTGGTTGCTCCAGTCTGGAGTCTGGAACTTGGAGTATGGAAGATGAGGCACTAAGCAGTTTTTTCTGATTTTCTGGTGACAGACTGCAGAGAATATAGCAAGCGAGGCACCAGGTGCAGTAGCTGCTCAGTAAGAAAAAAAAAACCAAAACATCAAATTGCTTAAAGTGCAGCTTCTGGTGCAGCTGGCTACATCTGCAGTGTTTGTGCAAGCAAGTGTATCATACTTGGAGAGCAATGTGCATTAAATGTAGATGGGATGTCTGCTTTTTGGAGTTTGGAAGGAATTTGAGTGCTGTTGCAGAAACCAGCAGGGTCGTGTGAGATTGTTAAAGGGCGGGAGGGTTACGGGTAGGAGATCAAAGTGCTGAATGTCAGCATTCTTCGAGCTCTCGGCTGTGGACTTTGGGTGGGACTGCGTAGATCACAAATGGGTTTGATCTGAGGCAGGTTTCATACCCCTTTGAAGAAATTTGTCATAGATGCTGTTTATACAAGGATTCTGTTACCAGGTGAGTCACTACCTCTGCAGGTAAGTCTAGATACTCCCCAGCTACTTGTTCTGGACAAAAATGTGGCTGGTACTTTCTCAGTCTAGTGAGAGACAGGTGCAGGTAAAGCCAAGTCAGTTCTTTGTCCAGTCTCTCTTGCCTGTACTTGAAGAGTAATTTGGCTTTAATGTTGGGTGCCAGGTTAAAATACAGGTAGGGGCTCTTGAGGTTTTACTGGTGTCTTTTTTCATTAGATTGGTAAAGTGACATCAGAGAGGTTGTTCACAGGTGTATCTCTCCGTACAAGGGTGGTGATAATCTTGTCGTCTGCAAATAAAGGGATTTTGCCAGCTTGTTTGCCTATGAAGTAGTATTGGTAAAGTCAGAAGGATGCTTAAGTGCTTCTGTACTAGATGTCACTAGTGAGCCTTCAATTTTAGGCCTGTAAAGGGGAGATAGGAGTTTTGGGGAAAAATTTTCTACATCTTGACCATCTTTGTTTTTCCCTGTTGCTTGGTGGTCTTCTTGTTGAAATGGAAAGCCCTGGGTTGTTGCTTTGACAATTAAGACTGTTTGGTAAGCAGATGTCACTAGAAGATAAAAAAGAGAGTTTCAAATTGGATGGAGCTAAGCTCCTGGTAATTACATGCCAGTTAGGCTAAATGCTGATCCAGCTCAAATGTAGCAGGGCTTTTGATCTCCTAACAGTGAGCGATGCTTCCCAAAGCATTGATTGCTTGTCTTTTCTTCTCTTTAAAGGTTCTGCAGGACCTGTTCACCCGCTGGTGGATCCGTTAGCAGCTGGCCCCCATTTGGCACGTTTTCCCTACCCACCTGGGACCATCCCCAACCCATTGCTAGGGCAGCCACCTCACGAGCATGAAATGCTCCGACATCCAGTCTTCGGTGAGAGCATTTTTATGGCCTTTACAGTTTGGCTCTTGATCTGAATCATCCACTTTTCTTTTGGGTCTTAGGGAGGGGAAGTGCTGGTGTTGAGCAGTAACTTAGGTTGCAGCTGAAGGATGTTTGGATTGGTTTGTCTATAAAAAAAACCCAAACCCTCATAGCAAACAAGTGTCTAAAAAAGGGGCAACTCTCTCTTAGGGACTCCTTACCCACGAGACCTGCCTGGTGCCATTCCACCTCCTATGTCAGCAGCCCACCAACTGCAGGCCATGCACGCCCAGTCAGCAGAGCTGCAGAGACTGGCAATGGAGCAGCAGTGGTTGCACGGGCATCCTCACATGCACGGTGGTCATCTACCAAGTCAGGAAGATTATTACAGGTGAGAGGTGCAATGAAGGCTTTTGGAGACATGGGGGTGCTTACAGCTTCCTTCATCGTTCTCGACATTCCTTCTTTTTTTAGACCAATTCCTACCTTTTATAGTGTGTTGAGTTACTGTCCCGATGCAGTTACAGAAGATGGTGAAGCTGTTACTAAGATCTAAATTGGGCATAGGTGATAGGGCAGCCTGGAACCTGGGTCCAAATTGCTGGCAGAGCACGTAGACTAGTGGAGTCTTACGTTGCGGAATTACCTCTGATGGGAATTTTTAGGGCAGTACTGCAGTTGCTGCTTCCGCATCTCTCTCATTTCATTGAGAACAGTGGAGGAGGGGGGTAAAGCTTTATGAATGAGAAGGGGAGGAATTCAGCAAATGCTAAGAAATTAGTAGGGGCAGTAGGAAGTTGAACCCTGCATTACCAGTTGCGAATGCCTGGAGGAGTCCTGTGAGTTCTTTCTCCCCAGAATGCTCTGTGGTGTCGATAGAGCAGTTCTCTTCTTGGCCTTACCTTATGTGACACCACCTTAGTTCCTTTATGACAGTGACCACTGACAACATGTCAGCTAAGAAGAAAAAGCCACCAACACCTAACAAGGGTCATTCTGCGTGTCTGTGGGTGGGAAGCAGCACGTTAAACTAAACGTCTGCCTTGCTTTAGTCTCGTGTTTCAGTCCTTGCAGTCCCGAGTTGCCTGCTGGCCTTGTGCCGCGGGGACAGCCCGTCTGCCTGTCACAGCTACAGCTCAGATAAGCTAAAGCTCCATGAGCTGGCACCACTGATCTCGCTCGCATGTAAGGAGCGCTTCGGTAGCAAAAGGTCATCGCTTCCTCCCACGACAGACAGCGTTATCGCTGCTGTTACAGTGGCTCTCGGGTTTGTGCTGAAAGCTCACAGGTTCTGTCGCGACCTCTGTTCCCTTCAGGGTACCTGGTGAGGTTAGCAGGAAGCCAGAAACAGTCTCTGAAGTGTCCTGACACCTCCTTGGCTTTGTTAAAATGAGTTTTCTTTCTCTTTCAGTCGGCTGAAGAAAGAAGGCGACAAACAGTTGTAATAAATTATTTATTTGTAATGCTGGCTATGGAAACCCCAGTCCTTGGGAAGGAGTGGAACATTTTTACATACAATAAGAGCTACAAAAGGAAAAGAATATCTTATAAAGATTTCTTTATATATTTAAAGCAGAAACAACCACCCAACAAGTAGAGACTTATCAGCATAGTGTTCATTTGTAGAGAAGATTTCTCAAGACTGGTGTGGGTCTCCCTGCATGACAACGTATTCAGAAGCCTATTGAAAATACAGGACTGTGTGGAATATTCAGAGAACTTCCTGCAATCTTGGGTTTTTTTGTTGGATTTTTTTCTTACTAGTTTGTTTTCAGTAGGTGCTAGAACCAGGTTCACAACACGAGTCACTGTGCGTGAAGAGACACTCAATGCATCTATAGCTATTTTAAAAAAAAAAACAAGAATTGCAAGTAGGTGGCATAACAAGCTCTGAATCCAAGTGCTATAATAATAAAAATCTACTTTTATTTTAATACATTGTAGGAAATCTTCATAATTTTAAAGAGAGCTCAGTTCTGCAGCATGGCTTTTTAAGTCTGTAAATAACTTTTTTTGGGTAGAGGGGAGAAACAAAACAAAACAAAACTCCAGAAGCATTTATCTTGATTTTCAGTAACATCACAAATTGTGAATTCCTACCTGGTATTAACAGAATACAGAGTTGATTTTTTAATAAAAAATATATATATAATTATCCCTTTAATTAAAGGGAATGATGAATATCAATAATTTCAAATGGGTAAAAGCTTGAAATTTGGTTTGATATCAACAATAAGCATTAAAGAGAGTTGCAGGGATAATGTTGCAAACGACTGTTTCTATTCTTGGTTTTTTGGTTGGTTTGGTTGTTCGGGGTTTTTTTTGTTCGTGTTACATCTCTCTGTTCTGCAGATGATTTCTGAGTTGGGTTTCTCAGCAGTACAGATGTCCCTTGGAAGTAGCTTACCTTTTGGATGCCTACTCCAAGGGTTAGTTTTCAGTGTGCCCATAATACACTTCTTTCCTATTACCTTTTGAAACTTAATCTAACTACGTTGGTTTTAGACTGTAGGCAAAAGTTCCAAGAAATAATCTGTTCTAAAAATCTCTTTTTTTAAAAAACGTTCAGTGGCTCGAACTAGTACAGCCAGAATTTTGTATGCATGTGCATATTTTTGGAGGATGTGCTCTTTTCTGGCTTCTTACGTTTGATATGTTCTTAAGACAAGTGGACTAGGCAACTTAGTGTTCTTAAAGTTGTTTTGCAAAGATCAGTCTGTATTTCTCTTTGACTGCTTTTGGTTTTTTAAGCAAAAACTTTTTAACTGCAACCAGTGTTCTGTATCTCAGGAACTTACTGCTCTGGGATTTACCTGATATATGGACAGTAACATTTACTGACTCCCAACACAACAGGTCCGTGCAGAAATACTCCTGTTGGCTGGTTCCCATGTGGATGATAAAAGGAGAGGAATACACGGAAGGCCAGTGAGCATTATTTTTGGAGACAGCTCTGCTTACTATCTAGGCAGAATTTTATTTGTTGTTTTGGGTTTTTTTTACCGTTTTGCCATGGGTTTTCCTTGCCAGAGCAGAGGGTGGTGCAACCAATGGACATCTGAATCTGCTGCCCCTTTTTTTTCTGCTGGTGCATAACTTGCCCCATTCTTTCTCTTATCTCAAGAGTGCTCTCTCTCTGCTGTTGTAGACTGTTCGGTGTGATGGTTGTGTCTTAGGACTGTACTGAGCCATGTCTGATAAACTTGTAGTTAATCATACGCTCTGATGGAAGGCACAGCATGCACAGTGCTTTATCCGGCTCATGAATCTCAAACCAGGGGTGTCCTGAGACACACAATCCAAAGATTAGTGTTGGACTGTTACTAACATCGATTTACCAATTGAAAATATGCATCAGGGTATTCTAGGTTCACTTTAAGTCACAAGAGTATAGGAGAGAGAGGAGGACTATTTCAGCTCATGTTGATCTCCCTTTTTTTTTTTCCTGTGTCCATTCCAGATTTCTCAGTGCTAAAGAACCACAGTAGCCTTTAATCAGTTCCATCGGCTATATTTGAACTCTCTGTGAAGGTGTTAGGAGGAACAGCTAGTGTTTCTGAGATTTGGAAACCATGAGGTCAGTCTAGACTCAAGGGTGGTCAAGTTGTCTTCAGTCAATGCCTTCAGTTGCTGTCCACAGTGATCAGGTGAAACGATTTTCTTCCAAGTAACATTTTTTACTTTTGCTAACAGTGGAGTAGCCAGTAAGATTGGTCTGCTCAGCGGAGGGAGTACTTCAGAGGTTTAATTAGGCACATTTCAGTTAAACCCACACTCCTAGTTTTTACCATGTGGAATTTGGGAGTTTGGGCAAGTTCAGCCTCTTCAGACATTGCTTCTGATCCTCCTCTTTTGCTGTTATTTTTAGCTATAGTTCATCATAAGGAAACAAAACAAAAAAACCCCACATTAATTGCCTCCCATGGTCCTCTCTGTTTTGTTTTGTTCTTTACACTGAAGTTTGCAGTCTGTTCAAAAGCTGTTCGTTGATCTGTTCCCGTTTCTTTTTCCAGAAAAGCATTCTGATAATTTGCAGGGATTTTTTTTGCTCACGTAATTCAGCACACAAGCATTCAAATTCTTCCATTTTAGACTAATGATTAACTACAACTTTACATGCAGTGGTTTTTGAAGCCATCTTGGTGTTCGATGCCCTGTTAAAACAACCCAAACCTTTTGGTTTTCCTTAAGAAATCTCTCTTTTCCTCTGTTTTGGAAGTTTATTTTTTAATTTTGCTTTAGTGTTTCTGAAACGTCTCTCTTGTTCTATGTCGTCATGGTTGAGCTTGTTTCACTGCACCGTTAAAAGCAGAGTGTACATTCTGACTGCTACATTTATATATATCTTGAAGCTTAATGTATATATGAGTAGTTTGCCATGGGATAACACAGTGTAAACAGAGTAGAAACCCAGAAATCGTGACTTCTGTGTTCTCTCCATTTGAGTATTTTGTAATTTTTTTGAAATATTTGTGGACATAAATAAAACCAAGCTACACTACAGCAGCCAGGTTTTGCCTGCAAGCGAGATGTGTCTGTTGATTGTTGTTAGTGGGAAAAGAGTTATTTTCATCTGGGATAAATTGGGATGCTGGCATTGCCATCTTGTCTGTTGTAAGCTGTCTTGTCTTTTTTGACTTTATTTTTTTCCTTCTTTGAGGTCATTTTATTTTTCATACACAGCACTTAACACCAACATCATGTCCAGTTTCAGAGTATATTCTGCCTCCCCGAGGCACATTTATGCTGTAGGGCTATACTGCATAATTTTGGCATATTTTTCCATAAGTGAAGCAGTCAAATTGATAAGAATGAATGCGTAAGGATGTCTTGGGTGTCATGACTGCGGGGGATTTCTGTGTGCAGTGGTAATATATTGTAGCCGCTGCTCGGCCTGAGCACAAACAAGTAGTTAAAATGAAGCGTGTGCCTAAGCTCTCATTTTTTCAGCCAAAGAAGATTAGAAAGATGAGAACTTATAAAGCAGAGAGGACAATTTCCCTAGTTCCAAGAGACGAGGAAAGACTTGCATGCCGTCATCTTTTAAATTTGCCTGAGAGCCAAAGGTGTTCAGAAGACAAGGAGAATGAGGACCGATGACTCATGTAAGCTTGAAATTAGATCGAGGACACTATACGTACCCCAGTAGCCGAGTTTTTCATGCATCTTCTTTTCTAAGAGATGTTACTTTGTGCCAGTAGTCGTCTCGCACACAGCTGATCTAGAGCTGGCAAGAGATGCATTCCAAAGGGATGGTAATTACAGAGAGGAAGATGCACAATAATTCATTGTTTTTTATTGCCTACTAAAAAGCTAAAATTTGCTTTCAAATTGTATCAAGCTACGTGTTTGTGTACATCTGTAGTGGCTCCTAATCTTCCATCTATCAGGGATTATAATGTATTTGCGTGAGCTGACTGTTTAAGTGTTCTATATTGGCAATTCGTGATAATTGGCGTCTCCGAAATTTAGGGAAATGTGGTGATGCCGCAGAGAGAGGTGACGAGTATCTTTACAGAATAAATGTTTGGTCAAAAGGGAGACAGGAAGGCTGCATTCTTGATCTGTTTCTGCTTTGGTTTTGGTCTGTGGTTTTTCAGAAATAGTGAGGTATTTTCACTCCTGTTCAAGCTAATTAGTGCTCTGAGAATAGTGAGAAAAAAGTGCCCTGTCGCAGAGTGTGCTTGAAGCAAACAGAGAAGCATTCATGACAAATTGCACGGCAGTTCGGAGCTGCTCTATTTATATCCTGTGGCATTTCGTAAGGGGAAGGTCAGTTCTTGTCTACTGGAAATAGCTACTGAAAGTGCTTTTTCTGAGGCTGGCATGAACACATGCTATGGTATTTATTTTGACATTTCTTCTGGTTTATTTTTTTTTTAATTCCTCCTACTTAATGTAGAACTTGAATGAGCTTAGGCTGCCCTCCTTTTCTTGCTACACGTTTCAGGCTTCTAGACTTTAAAAATGATGAATCCTACGGGGACAAGGCTGAAAAGGATTTTTATTACTGCATAAATTGAGCGATATAGTTCTATTGCAGTAGTTGATCTCATGTTAACGATACTTTGCTCCTTGTGTCGCGTTTGATCCCTGAAGCTCAGAGCAGCAGGCCAGGCCAGGCCCCGGGGCTGAGCCTAGAAGGTTCCGGAAGGTACCATGAGGGGGAATCCCTGGGGCTGGGCAGTGGGGGCCTGCAGGCAGGAGCCTTTTTTCCTTGTCTGGTGGGGAAAAGGATGACGGAGAGGTGGTGGAAGGGAATGGAGAGGTGGTGGAAGGGAATCTCGGGGCCTTTTCTCTGCCTGCGGGGGTAGGCCCAGGCCTCGGGCTGCGCTCTCCAGGCCTTGGGGGTCCCAGGCCTCGAGATCCCCTCAGGGCTCCTCTGGGCAGGTGAGGCCGGTCCCTGCGGCAACACAGGGCTGCGTCTGTTTGCTCAGTTCCCTCCATGTTGCCGTGACAGTGACAGGTGATCTTCCATATGTCCCAGTCAGCTGCTCCCGTGGCGACAGGCCCAGCTTTTTTTCCTCCCTTGCCCTCCCGTGTGACAGGTAAGCGTGACAAAGCCTCGCTGATGGTTGTGTTGGGTCTCTTTCTAGGGTAGTTCCTTAAATCAGAAAGACTCGTCTGGTGGTGGAGGGAAGAGCCCTCTGGGTACCCTGTGTGTACAGATTGTCCTTTGCAAACTCCTGTTCTGCTTCTTTCCTTCTTTTACTTTAAGGCAAGGTAATTAAGCTGGATTTTTTTTCATGGTGTTGACTTTGCAAAAACAAACTGGAGCAAAAGATAAAAACAACATAATGCAAACCACAAATCCCAAGCGGGCGATTTAGCCAGGCTATTTTTTGTTCTTTACAAATGCTCATCTCCATGGAAGTGGTAACTTGGCCCCTGCAAATTCAGCTACTTCTATATATATAAAGACTATAAATATAAAGAATGTGCGTCCCTGCCTTGTTCCTAATCCCCATCCTTTTATGCACTTTATCCCTAAAGAAAAAAAAACAAGTGAAGGAGTCTGGCAAAAAAAATGTATCTGAAGTAATGTGCGTTCACTTA